TGTCCCACGGCATCACAGATGGGACAGGAGGGACCTTCCCAGCGCAGAGGTTCCTCGCCCCGCTGAAACGCTGCGACGTGGCGGTGAAGCCTCAGAGACATGCTGAAGCTTTCCCGCAGCATCAGGAGTTTTACTGGGAAGTGAACAGAGCAAAGGCTGGAACAAAGTGGGAAGGTGATGACAGACGTGTCTGGGACAAGCTTTAGGAGTGACACCCGAACGACAGCGCAACCCCCACCCAATGCACACGGCATCACGCAGCCCTTTGGCTGCCTGGGAGGGTGCACTGCCCTTTTTTTTGGGGGGTGCTCAGGCTTTTACAGTAATTAATAAAACCCAAAAACCTTCAGGGCGGCTGGGTGGGGATTTCGCGGAGAGCTGGCGCGTGCCACGTGGCACAGCCCCTTGTTTGAGAGGTTTTCCGCACTGCAGTCCCTGCTCCAAAGGTTTGTCTCCAGTTGGGGTTTGAGCTCCCGTTCTCACAATGCCTTTCCCTTTCCATTGCATGTCCTCAGGGCAGCAGAATTCCCGATGGTGTCAAAGAGAAGAAATGCCTCACCAGTGCTGGAGCAGCCACCTTGATCAGCCCTGTGCCACGAAAAAGGCTAAGGACCACCCCAGTTCCCCCAGCCTCCCTGTCTGCTCCTGGCTCCAGACTTCCCAAAGCTGGGATGGATTCCTGGTGTCTAACACCCTCGGAAGAGGTTCGCCCCACAGTTTTTTGGGACACAGAGTGGGGATACCACAGACCACGGGATTACAGAGCAGAGCGTTTGTCTGCAGTGAAAATAGAAGGGTTGGCACCATCACCGCCCAGGAATGGCTGTGCCTCCCACGGAATACGGCGCAGATAAAAAACAGCTGCTTTTTGACTTTTTTTAATTAAAAAAACCCCAAAAAACACCAAAAACCAAACCCTGAAACCTGTCCCAGAAAACGTGGCTTTCTCATTCTGGAACCAGTATCATAACAGCCCTGTGAGAACCACAAACATTTGGAGGTGAAGAAAACATTGACTTTTTGGTATTTTTATTGGGATATAAAGTTTTTCACAGGAAGCAGCAACTTTCTGTGAAAAGCATTTCTCCATCACAATCTGTTTTGTTTGGGAAAAAAAAAGCAGGGCTTTTCAGGTTGGAAAAGGACTTTCAGTTCCACTAGGCTCGTAAACTTATCCTGCGCTGGTGGGAGGGGGTGCTGGGGGAGCTCTCGCTGAACCCCCCACCCCGTCCTGAGCCTGAGCACCCAGCCAGGCTTCCCTCCCATCCATCCTGTGACATGCTAAGGGCCACCGGAGCGTTGTGCTAAAGGCACTGCCGTGGGACTCGCCAGCTGCCAGACCAGGTTTATCCATGCTCCTCCAGTCGTGCCGAAAGCCACGCTCGTGGGGCAGACGTCTTGCCTGGCACCGGCACTCAGCCCATGCATGAGCAGCTCCTGGATATTGAAAAGGAAGACGAAGCAGCAGAAGAAAAGAATTCCAGCTGTTGGGAGAGCAAAATTCTACCTAAAAAAATAAAAAATAATTTAAAAAATTCAAGGAATGTGTTGTATATATCAGCAAAGCCAGAAATTCCTGCAAATAAAGGGCTGGATGGCTCCACCGATGGGGCTTGCCACTTCCCCACATCTGCTCAGCCAGACGTATAAAAGTTTCACCTCCTCTGGCATCTGTTTCCAAAATAAATCCTAACATCCTACCTTGGGCTCCTGCCATCCCCAGCTGGACTTGGCCTGATTTTAGAAAGGGAAAAGCACTTTCTCCACGGATACCTTGCTTGGAAAGCAGTTTCACTCAGCCGCTTCGCTGAGCCCGGCTGCCGGGGCCGAGGGCAGTCATGCCTGGTTTTGGCTGACAGGCTGAAACTTCAGGAATGCTTTAGGAATCTGAAAAGGCAGATTTGGGAGGAAATCCACCGTAGCAGGCGGTTTCGGCTGGGAACACAAGCCGTCACTTATGCTGGAGGACACCCTGCCTGTGTAAAGGCTAAAGAGGGGATCCGAGCATTTCCACGGATGCTAAAGAGTTCCTTACCCCTCGGGTGCTGCCGGAGCTGGAATAAGATCTCAGCCAGCGCCGAACTTGTTAGCATCAGGGTGTTGAGAGAGGTTTTCCCCCTGGAGAGACGCGTTGACGAGTTACCGGCAGGAATTAAAGGCTAAAAGGCATTGGGAGCGCGACGAACAGGCATGGTTGAATCTCATCCATCTCCGTGTTTTTCCTGGAAAGCCGTGCCGCCAGTTGCAGCCCTTTACGAGGCCAAGTACTCTCTCTCCCGCTGGGGCTGCAGGATGGAGGAATGCCATCAGCGGGATGTGGGAAAATGCCATTGGTGGCTCCTCCCCGGGCCGGCACTTTTTTACCCCTGGGATGGGGATGCAGGTGGGCTGCGGTGCCTGGCGAGCCCCCTGCCCTCTCTTCTTCTCCCAGGTGCCGGTGTGGAGATGCAAGTCGGTCGTTGCCGGTTGCTAGCCAGCTCCCTTTGCTGGCTCATGCCACTGTGCCAAGTGCCAGCACACCCAGCTGTCTTGAGTCCTACCAGCTCTTTTCTGAGACCTGCTTTAGGCTGGTTTGGTGGGCGTCCCCGTCCCCTAGGACG